GGTGGGGGGGCGGGCGAAGAGGGGAGGGAAGTCTCCTTTCGGTCCCCCTTCCCTCCTGTCTACCTTGGCGAGGAGGGGACGTGGGCGCAGCGTTGGGTTGAGATCTGAGGCCGTAGGGACGGGTCAGGTAAAATCCTCCTGTGGCCAGGGATGAAAGACTGTTGAAGATGAGACTAGCCTAGATCAGTCTGGATGTTTCTCGGGGATTTGGGAGCTGTTTTTATTCCAGGTATCGTAGCGTCTTTCTGCGGGGAGACCACAGGACGGATATCATCGTTTTCTGCTTTGACCACGTCGCGATCTGGCTCTCCTTCCAGGGGAACAGAGGCGGGGTGTTTGTTACTTGTGGATTCTCGCGGTTACGCCTGGCTCTGAGGTTCCAGGACATCCCACTGAGACGCTTGGACTGCCCTTGGAAGCTCCCTTCCTTTCCCTGCCCACAGTGTTAGTGGATGGTTTTCATACACTTGCATTTAGGCCCATAGACGAAGACAGAGCCCATCACACACGCTTGAGTGTACACTGATCCTCACAGTCACATTCACAGTTTTGCACACGGCCTGTTTTTCCGATTTGACCCAGTAACAATTCTTCCTCCTCCTCCTCCAGAGACTTTGGGATGGAGAGAACACCATTCACCCATGCTCCTGTCTCTCCAGTCGGCTGGCTTCTCCTGGAAGGGGCTTAAAGAGGAACAGGCCCCAGCTGGGCTGCTGGCCGGGACTCCAAGGGCCTCATGAAAGCTGTTCCATAGAGCCGGGGCTGGACCTGATTCTCCAGACATCTGGGAACCCACTATTGGATTCCATTTTGGGAAAAGAGAAAAGGGTTCTTTGGGGGCCACTTCATGACTTCCCCTCAGGTAGGAGCTCCAGCCTGCAGAGGGTGCCCAGTGCCCAAGAACCAGCCTAAGAAGTTTTTCCTGTGTGCCTGGGACATGCGACCCTTTTCCCGTAGCACTGTGGGTGCTGGTACTGGAAGAGCCAGACAGTGACCCTTCTTGAAGCTGCCATGATTTGATGAGGGATTCTGGGGGTCCTGCTGCTTTGGGGCCAAATATTTCCACCTCTGATCGTGCGACTGTGTGCTGGTCAGATGCCCGGAATGGGAAGAAGCATTCAAAGTGAAAGTGGGCACCTTCGGGAACATTTGAGCTGGAAACATTGGACTCCCTTCCATCCCAGGCTAACTGGTGAGCAGCCAGACCTGGACCTGCTCTCATCCCAACTTGCAGCCTCAGCCCTAAACTCAGACGCTGTGCATACCACCCCACTGTTCTGCTCTCTAAGCCCCTTGGGCTTCCCGCAGGGTACAGACCAATGACTGGGCTCAGGCTTTTATCTGCCCAGATTCTGGGGTTTTCCAGACCAAAGTAAGTTTTGCCCAGTAAAACCTTCCCTGCCCCCACCCCCGTGCCTCCCCTATACTGAGTGTACCCTTTCTCTCTTGGCTTTTTAGTAGTTCTGGGTAAATATTGATTTGCCCCCAGTTTACCTTCTCCCCGGCTAGCCATTTGCAGACTGAGGAACTGGCCTCTGTAAAGACTTGATTTTTGTGTTACTTTCCGGCCATTTCGTCCCCCACCCTCTTCCTCCCTCCAAGTGGCGTTGTAAAACTCACAGTGACAAAGAGACAGGGTAGGGTTCGAGGCCTCAGTTCCTGGGGACTTGAGGGCGGTTTTACATACGGGTCAGACACGGCTGGAGGCCAAGGTCAAGTTGAAAGTTGCAGTCTACTCAGCGTGAGAAAACTGCCATGCAAGCCCAGGCAGCTGTGCGGGTGGCTGCAAAAGGGCCACTACTCATCTCCCCTCACTCCTACCTCCTCTTTTTGTTTCTTTGGAATTCTAGTTTCTGCCTGTTCGGCTACCCAGTATTTTATTTTTTCTGCCTTTGTAGAGTTTTGGGGGCGGTATTTACCAACTCTTTTTCTCTGCCTCCACCCTGGTCTTGGCAGGGGCTTTGAGCCTCTTCTGTTTTCCAGCCAGTCCCAGAAAAAACGAAAACACAGCTTGGGAAGCCCCCACCAACTGATGCCTGTGCCAGCTCACCTCTGGCCATGGCGAGGCGGCTGGCGCACACAGGCAGCCAAGGCCAGCTCCGCGTCCTTCCCGCCCCTCCCGCTTCACTGGAGCCGGGAACCTTGTGTACAGACTGCCAAAGTCGACTGGGTCCTTCCTCACCAAAAATGGAGAGACAAGAATTCATCTTGTCTGCTGAGAAGCCACAACCAGGTTTGTCAGGGAGGGAAGGCGGGCGCCGAAAAGGGAGGGCAAGAAGGCTTTGGGTTGCATCTCAGATTCATTTGGCTTTGCTTCTCACACGTGGCGCCCCCACCAAGGAAGGGCTTGGGTCCCAAATTATTAAGATTTATGTCTCCTTATCATTAAAAAAAAAAAACCTCTGAAGACATGGTTACTTGGAGGCAGACTGCTTCTCTCGTCTCAGATCATGACATATATGATATGATTTTTCCGTCAGGTATGTCAGTGGCGTCTTGGCATGCTTTCACTATTTTTAAGTGCCTGCATGTCCTACTAAATATTGACTTGTAGGCATCAATCAGTGGGAATGGTTTATATAATTAGAACGAATTCTGTGAATAATTGTGGGTCTGTTTCTAGAATTTCTACTTACTTTGAAGCAAGAATAATCCCCTTCTCAGTATTTAACTGATAAGTGGTGCATTAATGGTTTGCAGTATGGATTCTTACTCCACCAGGCAATCACCAAACTGGCTTACTGTAGAAAAAGAGGTGCAGAGGACAATAAAGGCTGGACTGTGTTCTTAGAGACAAGCACAGATACTCTCAGCATTCTGCTCCTTTCCCCAAAGGCAAGGTCAAGATTTGCTTGACTGCCCAACTAGTGGTGCATGATCTCCTTAGCTGCACCGTGGGGTTTTTTTGCCCCGCTCCCCGGGATTTCTATAGGATTACAAAGAAGCATTGTCAGTTTAACAATTTTAATCTCAGACTTTCCGTGGGTTAAACTGAGGAAGCCAGGGCACACGCTGGGATCTTGAGCAAGAGAGCCAAACAGTGGGCTGTGTGGGTGGGGTGGAAGAGGCTTCCGTGAACCCCAGGACCTGCCTGGTGCCCCCAGGTTTTTCTGGAGTCCCCCTGAGAGGTTTGTGTGGGGCAGAACCTGAGAGGGCTGGATGCAGCCTGGTCTTTTGTTCAAGGTCTTACAGATCCTTTCTCTACCTCCAAAACACCTTGGCTTCTTAACTTGTGGGGTGGGCCAGGGCTCCCTGCAGGACTTTGGCTGCCCTAAGCCTCCCACTGAAGAATGAGACCTTGGCGGGGATTTCCTGTGTGGAGGACTTGATGATACCAGCCTGGGCCATGGGGCCCCTGGGCTCCCAGGGTTGGAAAAGGATAAAGGGAAAGCAGGTTTTAATTGAATTTGATTTTCATTTGCAAATTAAATTTACCTGCTATGGCTTTATCTCGGAGGAGACTGTCAGCGCTGCTCCTTGGCATTACTTCTTTGCATCTATCCAACCTTAGGATAAACATTCCTCCTTAGTTTTAAAGACACTCTGTATTTCAGGATATTCATGTGTTTCTAATGTATCCAAGCAGCTTTACGAGCCACATTTGCAGAACATCTTAACCCTCTCTCTTCCACTCAGCGCAGACTGGGGATGTGGAGATAATGGCAAAAGAAGAAAGATCCAGGAGGTGGGGGTTGGAGGGCTGAAGCTGGCTAGGAAGGAGAGAGAGGAAATATTCTTAAACAGGGTACTACTTCAGAGTTCTCACTACACCAGACCCTTTGAGAAAGGGGCACATGCGGGACTGGTGTGTTTATGGTATACTTTTTGAGGGTTCACACCCCTATTCCCATCAGGGTGGAATATGCTCTTTGCTTGAAGGAAAAGGGTTAGTCTTGAAACCACTGCAAAGCTTGCCGGTGAGCAGGGGAATGGTGCATTCTGTCATCCACTCAAGCTTTTGTGTTAGATGTTTGCACATTTGAAGGAAAAATGTTCTGAAAGACTCAAGGCTGTGGGGATAGTTTTGGGCCACAGAAAGACACTGCACTGTGGCGACCAATTGCTAACTCTTGAAAATGGAAGTGTAAGATCTGGGAAGACCCACACAGAACCCCTCTTGCCTTCAAGATCCCGCATAGGGTGGATTTTGCGGGAAGCAAGTTTTAGAAAGCAGCTCTCCCACAGCCTGCCAGGTTCCATCCCTTATGGCAAAGCCTTTAGTGCAGATGGCCTCACAGGAACCCCCACTTTAGGGCTACCCTTTCTCCACAAAGCTCCGAGGAGGGAGAACAGCTCCCCAACTTTCAGAACCAGTCTCAGGTCCCAGGTTCCATTAAGAGCACCCCTCTGTACAGCGGCTGCCCCTGGCACCCAATCTCCTCCGTCAAGTCTGGCGCAAATTTGGAGAGCGGGAGCGCTCGCCTCTGAGACTTGGCTCTGGGAAGCTCAAGTGATTCCGAAGCCCATTTAGGGGGTGATGGGAGAGCTCCTGGCCCGGCAGTGTCCGTGTTTGGCTCTTCCGGGAACCTGGAAATGCTGCCAGAAGCTCAAGATTCCGAAGCCCATTTAGGGGGTGATGGGAGAGCTCCTGGCCCGGCAGTGTCCGTGTTTGGCTCTTCCGGGAACCTGGAAATGCTGCCTTGTCAACAGTACTGATCGCGGGGTAGAAGGCGGCTGTGGGGGGCACGCTACTGGAAATAGATGCTTTGCCAGGAGGAACCTCATCTTGGGTGCGGGTGCGCGGTGAACGGTGGCTGGATTGCGGAGATCCAGCTAAGAGGGAGTGAGCTCGCCGTCACTCGGCCAGAGCCTTGGGAGAGCGCCGCGGGCGGCCAACAATCCAGGGCAACTGCGACTTGGAAAGGAAGAATCTTTGTCCTTTCACTGCTTGAAAAGAAACCTACCGCCGCCCCCACTGAAGCTCGATGCTCACACCCTGCAACAAAACAGGAAGCCAGCGCTGGGCTGTGGATTCTTTATGGCAACAAAATACACTGAAGGCCTTGGAGAATTTGAAGGAAGTAGGGGGTTTGCAAGTAAACTGGTCCCGTCGGGCTGTGGCTTTCTGGCCCTCGGAAACCAGTGCGGACAGCCAGGAGGCCTGGGCCTGGGGTATCCCATCTGGACCCAGAATCCTAAAGCCCTCTAGGTTCAGGCTGCGAATTCTTTATGAACAAAGCAGCTGGGGAAAGAGAACCCTCCAGCACAGCCACGAGGAAGGAAGGGTGACTTAGGATCCCTTCAAGCACACGCTGAAGTATAATCAGACTTTTACGGGTGCACTTTATATATTGTAATCCTGACGATGTGTGCGCCTTGATATCCCCGTGCAGATTCACACATCAGACCTCTGCACATACGCAGTGAATGTGCACATCCATTGCCAACTGGGTGAAATGTAGACATCATACAGAGCCCAGAGGAAAAAGCCTTCACCTTGTCAGACTAGCCTGGTGACGTTGTTTGGGGGAGCTAGTGAATCTCTACCCATTCTGAGTTTTCCGGCCACCCGTCATTCTCTTTTCCCAGGCTTTGTACCTATGGACACCTGTCCTCAGTGGAAGGTGAGGCCCTGGCCGGCATTTACCTGGTTTGGCTGTCATCCCCAGAGCTCTGGCTGGCTCTGGGGACCCTCACTGGACCAGGCTGGAGCACATCGAGCTGCTCATATAGCAGCCATCACCTCTTTGTCCAGGGGCTGAGGTCTTGCTTGGCCCTATGAGCAGGGAAACGAAACAGCTCAATAAAAACTTTTGATATTAGTTTTCACAGACATTTACACTCTGGTGAGTGAGGGACTGAGTACGGAAACTCCACTTATCAGCCCCCAACCTTGGGTTTGGATACTTGGTTTATGGGTTGGGAAAAAGAGCTTGCCGGAAAGAGAGCTTGCCGGAAAAAGAAAGTGCCGGGAATGGTGGACTGATTCCGGAGAAATGGAAAAAACAAAAAACAAAACAAAACAAAACAAACAAAGAAACAAAACGAAAAACTATGTTTTGGTTCCTGGAAACTGAAAATTGAGTGAAAATATGCTACCCAACAGATCACCTCCTTTTTTAAAAGCCCATTTGCCCAACACAATTTAAAAAAAGCATTAAGAAAATTCCCGAATTCATAACAAAGTACAATAAACCCCTATACACCCAACTTCTAGCTTTAGCCTCTATTATCGTTTTGCCTTGTATGTTTCATCATGTACTTTAACTAATAATAAAATGTTCTTTTAACTAATATTGAAAATTAAAACCCACACATCAAATAATCTATTCTTGACATAAAATTTTAAGGATGTATTATTTCAAGATTGAGAAAAAGGACTTGAACTTCAGTAGTTCCAATTACACTCTAGAAACAAGGTTCCAACCAGGAGAAATCTGGACAGAAGAGCGATGTAGAATGTGGTTCCACCTTGCCTGAAATTTTACATGGCTCTTCTTTATTTTAAAAAAAGAACAGGATGTATGTTGGAGATTTATATTACTCTTTGCTATGAACAAATCATCCTTTTATTGAAGTTTTCACTGGTGGCATCAGTCGTTTTGTGTGTGTGTCCTGCATTAACTTGTAGTCACTTATTAGAGTGCAAATGATTATTTTACCATTTCAACATATCTCTTTCCCTGGTAGAAACTCTAAAGAGATTTCTGATAATTAAAATAGAAGGCAAAAGTTTGTATTAGATTGACATCTCATTAGAGTGACCACAATTTTCAAGAAAAAAATGCAATTCTGTTTATTATTAAACAATATCCCCTCCCCTCCACAATAAGATTCTTTTAAAAGGGATTAATAAAGACATCATGATTTTATTGTTTTGTTTTAGTTTGATGGTTTGACAATGGCATTATCTTCTTCAGTAAACTCAAAGGTAATTTAACTAGGGGCTGGGGATTTAGCTCAGGGTTTCCCCTGCCTGCTTCACAAGCTCAAGGTCCTGTGTTCGATCCCTGGTACAAAAAAAAAAAAAAAAAAAAAAAAAAAAAAAAAAAAGACAAGGTGATTTAACTAAAGCCTTGGCAAGTTGAGAAACTAAAAAGGCAAAAACAAAAAGAAACAA